GATAATCCTGTCATCATGGTCCTTTGATGTTCCTCTTGAGAAACAAGAGCAAAAACATTATTAATAGGTGGTATAGGATCCATAAGGAGTATTTGCCTGTGAGTGTGGGCAAACGAATCATGTAGCCCCATAAAAAAAGACATGACATACTCAGTTTGATAGTGATCTTCCAATGCCTTAGTTCCCTCACATGTACATTTTCCACAGGAGTAGTTTGGTCGATAATTGCTCAATTCCTCCCAAATTGTCTTCCATTTAGTAAAGTATGTTCCTACAGTTAGCTTAGCCTGAGTGTGATTCATCATATCACGCCTCAATTGGAAGATGCGTGGTCCATTTCATTACCGGAATCTTTCTTTTAGATCCTTCCATATTTCGAAGGCAGACACAGAATATATGATGCTTGCCGAGATCTCTTTAGACACTGAGTTGAGTATCCAGGATATAACAATGTTGTTGTTTTGAATCCAAGCATTGATCAAAGTATTATCACCTTCAGGCCGTGTGATTGAACCATCAATAAAACCTAATTTGTTCTTAACTGATAAGGCAATTACCATACTTCTGCTCCAAGAGGTATAATTCTCTCCAATTAGTGGCTGGGAAACCAGTATAAGACCTGGACTAACTGAATGGTGGAAATAGTAAGGACTCAATCCATCATCAATAATGGAATTATGTGCCAATAACCTCGAAAGATCCGTCGTCATGGCGAAAAAAATCAGCAATCGAACTCGGATGCAGAACAATGGCAGGATAGTATTGTTGAAGAAGATGATGAATCAGAAATTCTACTTTTGCTCTGATACCATTTTGAACTTAAGAAGGATTAAATTTAGACAGAAGAGACGGAAAGCTTCTTATTGAATTGAAGAAATGAGCAATCCGATTTTACAATGTACCAGTCAAAGCTATATATATAAAACAGAATTAACAGAATAATAAATGACAGGAAAATGAAATAAAGTAAGACAGCTGGCAGCTAGCTAAAATATCTAACATCTAATACAAGTCTCTATTACCTAGATCTAATGATTTTGACATATTGGCNCATAAAAGATCGATTGGCGCAATGTGATTTATTTGTTTCTAATACCACTAGTACTGATAGTAACAAGTCAAAGCTTGATATTTTCTTGGATGAGCCTCTATTTTCTAGATCTAATGATTTTGACATATTGGCATGATGGAATGCAAATTCAACAAAATATCATTTTTTGCAAAAAGTTGCAAGAGATATGTTACCTATACCAGTATTCACAGTGGCGCCAGAGTCTGCATTTAGTACTAGTGGTAGATTTGTTAGTTCACATAGAAATATGTTTCATTTAAACACTTTGAAGGATTTGATGTGTACTAGAGATTGGTTATGGGCCGACATTCATGGTACGAGAAATACAATTTTCTTTGTTTTTCATAATTGTTATTTCTATTATTTCTTCATTGCTAACTAGTTTTATTTATTGTTAGAACATTCATCATCGACGTTGTACTCTGGATGCTGTATTACGCAGTTGAGTGACACTGATATTGAAGATTAGGTAAGTTGATTTTTTTTTTAAATGGCCTTGCATATAAATAGTTAAATACATCACTTGTCTAACTAATAATTACTTTTACAGTCATCAATTTTTAAGAAACCTGATATAGACATTCTAGAAGAAGATGGCAGCACTTGAAGATCTACAACATAAAATGTTGCATTATGTGATGTTTGTTTGCACGTTATCTTGTAATTTATCCAAATATGTAATTTTTATCTTGTATTTAAATTTTCAAATTATTTTTGCTTTTATGGGTAATGTAATTATATAACATGTACAACATTCACAAAATTTAACAGATTTCCTCTCTCTCTCACTCTCAAGCTGTTTTTTCTAATTATCTGTAAATAATTATGTTTCAGTAATGATAGTGAAAATGGTTGTACTACATATACACCACAATTTAAATATTTGTTCACCTACAAATAATGTGGTAAAATATGATTAAATCAAAATTTCACCAACTAACTAAAGACATAAAATACTTCCACTTCTTTTTCTCACCTCTCTGATGTGTAAAAGAATTTGTAAATGGTGATGTACAACAAACATTTTTCAAATGAAATATAGAGGGGTTCGAAGTCGAGACAACTTTGGAATCAATCCGATCTCGCCAATTTCGTGAGAGAGAGACTTTCTAGTTCAGACACTATCAAAGCGCGAAAGAGACGGCCATTTCGATTACTTAGTAAGATTCTTAATCACCTTATCTACTCTCTTCAATTTTTTATCGCACGATATTCAAAGCAGCACCATTAATACTGAATTCTATTTTTGATGTGTGGTTAAAAAGTTATGGATCCCACAAAATATATAGTTAAAATTAATTGTTGATTTTGTCTTAAATTAAAATTTAGTTTTTAAGCCCGTATATAACAGATTTTTTTTTTTTTAAATGAGTTTTTGAATAGTAATTTTTTGGAGAACTAGTCAGAGTTGAATAAAATACTTTATAAGTGCCGTGAAAGTAATATTTGACCCTTCATCTACACTTTTAATTTAAATATGAGAGAAATGCAAGTTCTTGAAAATAAATGTTACTTATTACACATGCTCGTACATAATGAAATGCATGCTTGAATGTGAGAATTAAAATTACAACTAAATGTATAAATGAAGATAAATGACAAATATGAAACATGCATTAACATGAATGCTAATTAATTTAGAATTATATATACATGACAATGAATATTAAATTATTTATAATAAATTAATATAATTTAATTTTCAATTAAATGAAACTGAATGCTAACTAGCATACATGAACGTGAATAATGAACTGTATTCTTGAATGTGAAATTCTAATTAATATTAACTAAATAAATGCGAATGTTAATTAATAGTAGGGGAATACATGGATGAACAAGAATTTTATAGTATTGATTATAGTTTATACATGCATGAACAAGGTTTGTAGTATTCATTGCACTTTGTAAATTAAATACATATTGAAAAACCAAAAATAAGATATTATTGAAATAATTAAATTATAGTATGGTTATAATCGTTCAAAAAATGATCCTCACTTGATGTAATATTTAATTATAGATATTATAGATGTGTGGTTAAAAAATAGAGATTTTTTTTTTTTAAAATTTGCATGATAAATATTTTATTATGAAAATGTATGATTAAAAATGAGTATAAAAAAAAAAATTTAGAAATAATGATGGTAAAAAATGGGTAATTCTACGAAAGACTAATTAGCACAAAACGTCCATACCTTTGAGGTTGATATTGGAAACCGTCCTTACCTTTCATTTATTGGCATTTATATCATTACCTATCACTTTTCATGCGCTGAACATCATTTTTACTATTTTTTGACAATTTTACCCTCCATTCAAATAAAACAAAAATTAAAGAATTAATTGCAGTCATACCCCCAAATTTTTTAAAAAGTTCAAATTGGTCCAAAGCCTTATTAAAGGCATCACAACTGCCGTAACTTGGGGCAAGAAATTGGGGTCCAATTGCTTGTTGTTTCCATCAATTGGAAGATTACCCATAACCAAATTATCCCCAATTTCATGAATATGGGTCGAAATTGGAGCAAAAACCTCAGCACAACCTCCAATTAGAGCTGAAAAATTCTCGGGTAATGGGGCAGATTCAAATCCGGTTGTAGGAGCTTTAATTGATGCAATTTGATGAATACCCATAGCATTACCATTATCAATTGAGTTTTGGTTGGTTGAATTGAAGAGGTGGAACAGCATAGATTCATCAAATGGGTTCGTTCCAAATTTTTCGCACAAGTTCATCGCTTCAGCTAGAAATTGGTCCGGTCTCAGGTGCAATTGGTTCAGACCCATGGCTGGGAAAGGTGCGCCAGGTGAAGGCGCAACTAGACAGGTGGTCCGCGACCGAAATTTGTTCGGACGGCGCCCAATTTGCAAATTTTCACAGACAGTGTTACACCTGTCGTGACAGGAAGAATTTCAGGCTTCAATTGAGATGGTATTGATGTTAATGCACACAATTCGACCAACGTGCATGATGTAGAGGTTATTACAGCAATGGGTAATGATTCAATTGAAGGAACTGAAGGCCAAATGATCTCCAATTGTTCTCCCCAACCCGTTTGAGAGATAGATTTTTTTTTTCATTTTTAATGTTTTAATAAGGCTTTGGACTAATTTGAACTTTTTAAAAAATTTGGGAGTATGACTGCAATTAGTTCTTTAATTTTTTTTCTTTTTATTTTATTTGAATGAAGGGTAAAATCATCAAAACATAATAAAAATGATGTTCAGTGCACGAAAAGTGATAGATAAGGACATAAATGTCAAGAAATGAAAGATAGGAACGGTTTCCAAAATAATCCACAAAGATGAAGACGTTTTGTCCTAATTACCCTTTTATCAAGCATGCGCCTAATTTCAAAACGCACAAAAAGCGATAGTCAAAGTGAGATTATTTGAAATATAGAGGGGCGCCTCCACATCAAGCTAAATAGCTTTGAATTCAATCCGGTCACGCCAATTTCGCGAGAGAGAGACTTCATACTAGTTCATAGTTCAGACACTGTCAAAGCGCGGAAGAGACTGCCATTTCGATTACTTGTAAGATTCTTAATCATCTCTTCTACTCTTCTTCAATTTTCCTCGCACAATAATCAATCTGTGTATTTCGTGTGTGTGTATATATGGAACAGCACCGTTAATACTGAATTCCATTTTTGATGCAGGAACGAGAAAAGTTGTGAATTGGCTCGTTGTCCTTATTTATTTATTTATTTTTATTTTGAGTCTGCATGCTAAACCCCAAGCCCATTGTTTAAGGTGTATAAATCACAGTTCGATTTTTGAAGGTCGCTCACCCTGAAATTTGATATATTTTAGATGAAAATTTTTGGGAATTTCGGAATATAGGTTAAGTGCTTTTCGTTTGTGAAATTGGGCAGTGGTTAATTTTGGAAAGTCTGCGTAATTTGTTGGCTGTGATGAGATAATGCTGTCAAAAACAGGTAGTAGGAAGAAAAATGGTGAGAATTCAGGAAAGGGGACGTTTTTAAAAGAACTTGGAACTATAAATAAAGGCATGTATAAAGATAAAATGCGGCCGAGCGCTGCAATTTCTACAGTTAGTAGTAGATCCAAGGCCTTGGGAAAATCCCATTTGCCTGAGCCCGAAATGACCCCCAAGGATGCTAATAATGCTAAAGATTCACTCGATAAGAATAAGAAGTCCATCTGGAGTTGGAAAGGGCTAAAAGCCTTGACCCATATCCGAGACCGTAGGTTCAATTGTTGTTTCTCTCTCCAAGTCCATTCCATCGAGGGGTTACCAGCCTTTCTTAATGATGTTAGTCTTGTTGTGTGCTGGAAGAGGCGGGATGGCGAGTTGATGACGCAACCAGTTAGGGTTTATCATGGAGTAGCAAAGTTTGAGGAACATTTGACACATACATGCTCCGTATATGGGAGTAGGAGGGGTCCATACCATTCTGCAAAGTATGAGGCGAAGCATTTCTTGTTGTATGCTTTGGCGAATGATGCTCCTCAGTTGGATTTGGGAAAGCATCGGGTTGACTTGACAAGTTTGCTTCCTTTAACTTTGGAGGAATTGGAAGAGGAGAAGAACTCGGGAAAGTGGACAACTAGTTTCAGGTTATCAGGTAAGGCTAGAGGTGCAACTATGAATGTAAGTTTTGGATATTTAGTAATTGGGAATAATAGCACTAGCCTTTCTAGCGGTGGGGAGATATCTGTGATTCAGAGCTTGAGGCGGGACGATATAAGTGCGACAAAACTCCTCGGTGAATTGGATCATAAAAATGAGCTAAATATTCAGCTTGTAGAAAGTGTACCTGCTAGGTCGTCTACTTCAAATATGTTTGCCGATGATATAAAGGAACTTCACAAGGATATGCCAACATCAAGGTCCAAACAGTCAGATTCAGTGATGATACTCTATCAGAAGCTTTATGAAGAGAATTCTTCAATTGATTACAAAATAGAGGCTGATTCTTTTTCTGAATCTGCCGGTCCTCTCAAACCTAATTCATGTGCATCTGATTCTAGGAAGGATAGTTCAAAAACTGAATGTGGAACTACTGAGGGTTTTGTCGTAGAGAAAGGGATGGAAGTAGAGAAAGGAATAGAAGGCTTGAAAAAAGAGCATGTGAAATCAGACATCAATATGTTGAATGTTGCTCAAGGTTCTGCTGGAGGGCGTCTTGAAAATGCCAGCACTATCAACGTTCCCCTTGACGAGGATGTCCCCATTCTTCCTCCTGTTGAGGAAATTGATTATCGAAAAGATGAGCCATTGATAAGTGATGACAATTCTAAAGAGAATGATTTTTGTACCCGAGAATCACTAATGAATGAACTGGAGACAATTTTGACTTCTGCCTCAAATCCGGTGATTGAAGGAATTGATTTTCAAGAAGATGAAAGTGAAAAGTCCTTGGTTATTAAGTTGAATTACGAAGATCATGGGAAAGGAAAATCACTTAGCTTGGATGATGTTGATGAATCTGTGGTTAGTGAATTCTTGGACAGGCTGGGAATAGAGCGTAGCCCATTTGGTTTGAGTTCTGAAAGTGAGTCCGAGTCCCCAAGAGAGCACCTACTAAGGCAATTTGAGAAGGAGGCTCTCGCCAATGGAAGTTCTTTATTCAACTTTGAAATGGACAATAACTCATCAGACTTTGTTAATGACTTTCAAAGTGATTCTGTGTGGGAACCCATTTATGAGGACGTCTATAACTCATCTGTAGTTCAGGATTATGAGGAGATGACTAAGATAGAAGCTGATGCAATGAGGACTAAGACAAGGGCCTCAGTGTTGGAGGATTTGGAGACTGAAGCTTTGATGAGTGAATGTGGCTTAAATGGGAATTCCTTTCAACATTCTCCACCTAATAGCTCGGGTGGGTTCGGGAGTCCAATTGATATGTCCTCAGAGGATCCTCGGCAGCTGCCTCCCCTTGCCAAAGGTTTGGGTCCCTTTATTCAGACTAAGAATGGAGGATTTTTGCGCTCGATGAATCCTGCGCTTTTCAAAAATGCCAAAAATGTAGGGAACTTAGTGATGCAGGTGTCTAGTCCCATAGTAGTTCCTGCTGAAATGGGTTCTGGAATAATGGACATACTTCAGGGTCTGGCTTCTGTTGGAATTGAGAAGCTCTCAATACAGGCAAATAAATTAATGCCTTTGGAAGATATAACTGGGAAGACGATGCAACAAATAGCATGGGAAGCTTCATCCAATCTGGATGGGTTTGAGAGGTTTGCTGTTACTGTTTCAGCATTGCGAAATAGATGTATTTTTCTGTAACTCATTTTCAACATCTCAACAATTACACTAATTATAGTTTTCTTGATTTGTTTATCCATGTTTCAGACAAGGTTTATTGCAGCATGAATCAGAACGTGCTCAAAATATCTCTCGGGAAATCATAGTAGAAGGAAAATCCTCTGGATCCAGGTTAAATAAGCTTGATTCAGGTTCACTTGTCAGTGACTCAGAATATGTATCCTTGGAAGGTCTTGCTCCTTTTGCAATGGATAAAATTGAAGCCATTTCAATTGAGGGCTTGAGAATACAATATGACATGTCAGATGAGGATGCGTCTTCAAACATTAGCCCACAATCCATTGGTGGATTTTCAGCTCTTGAGGGAAAGACAGTTGATGTTGGTGGCGCCGTAGGTCTTGATGGGACCGGTGGATTGCAACTGCTCGACATTAAAGATGACAGTGAAGATGTTGATGGTTTGATGGGCCTGTCTCTAACACTCGATGAATGGATGAGGCTGGATGCTGGTGAAATTGACGATGAAGATCTCATCAGTGATCGAACTTCCAAAATACTGGCAGCCCATCATGCTACTTCGTTAGCGTTGTTTGGTGGAAAATCAAAGGGGGAGAAGAGACGAAGCAAAGGTAGGAAGTGTGGTTTGTTGGGTAATAACTTTACTGTTGCATTAATGGTGCAGTTACGTGATCCTTTGCGGAACTATGAGTCGATTGGTACTCCAATGCTTGCTCTCATTCAAGTGGAGAGAGTTTTTGTCCCACCTAAACCTAAAATCTACAGCACAGTTTTGCATGTAAGGAACTATGACAAAGAGGAAGAAGAAGGCAAGACTGCGAAAAGTGAGAACATAATGGAGGAGTCCAAAGGAGACCAGATCCATGAAGAATCTGTTCCTCAATACAAAATTACTGAGGTGCATGTTGCAGGTTTGAGAAGTGAGACGGGTAAAACGAAGTTATGGGGTTCTAGTAATCAACAGAAGTCTGGCTCTCGTTGGTTGCTTGCTAATGGAATGGGAAAGAAGAAGCATCCACTGATGAAGTCGAAGGTGATAGCCAACTCCTCTGCACCAGCTTCTTCACAAGCAACAACTACAGTTCAGCCTGATGATACCTTATGGAGCATCTCTTCTCGAGTTCATGGAACAGGGGCTAAATGGAAGGAACTTGCTGCTTTAAATCCTCATATTCGGAATCCAAATGTCATTTTCCCAAATGAAAAAATCAGATTGTGCTAGGACTGAAGCTATATTTTCTCTCGAGTGGAACCTTATGGACTGTGCACATATGAAATTGTTTTACGCTCCCATTTGTCATTTTGATGAATATCTTTCGTGAAAATTGGTGTTTTAAACGATGCGATGATTTCTCTAGAGATCGCCAGTGAATCTTGTTTCTACACAAGACTCGATTAATCAATACGCATATGTGCAGAAGTAGAGAGGATAAATACATTGTTTTGCTGTTTAATTTGTGGATTCACGAGTTTTGCGAGCATCGACTTGCCTTGTTAATTTGTTATTGTTAAAAAATTTGGGTTCTATCTTAAAAGGTTAACCTTATTAAGAGAAGTAACATAATCTTTTATTAGTTGGTTTATGTTTACATCTTTATTCGATATGAGAGTTAAAAAATTTGGGTTCTATCTTAAAAGGTTAACCTTATTAAGAGGAGTAACATAATCTTTTATTAGTTGGTTTATGTTTACATCTTTATTCGATGTGAGATTATACCCTTTAACATACCCTTGTAAGATGATGGCTTGTTCGAGCAGACCAATCTTGAAATCCGTATGCTCACTTTTGGAGTTTTAACTAGGGATGACAATTTGAACTGTTAAAATCGAAAACCACAGTTAATCGAACCGAATGAGGCGAAAAAATCGAATCGATGGTGCAATGGGGTGATTATGGTTATTGTTTTGATTTTAATGAACCGTTTCATTTAGGGGTGGGTATGGTATTTAGCGATGGTGTCCCGCCTCAAACCGATTACCTGTTAAAAAAAAATTAATTGGACAATTGAGTTTTCCATTATTTTTTCTAAAAATTAATTGAGCAATTTTGACAATTGAGCTTCCCAGAATTCTGATCCAATTAACATTAAGTACACCTTAACCTAATTACCCAGCCCACTGCTCAGGTAGCCCAATTTCAATATACTCTACACGTTAAATTAAAACCCAGGTTTACAGTCTCCAGACTACACTTCTCCTCCACTCAAATCCCCCACCGTCGCCGCCCTCGCCAATTCCGGGTATGTATATTTTCATGTTTCTTGAGTGTTTGTATTGTGCCTTTTAAGTTTGGTAAATAATTTTGTGCATCAAATTCTTATTTCAGGAACTCGGTGCAA